CAGGAATTTTAAGGGACCTACTTGAACAAATGAAGTTTTTAAATAGCTTCTCTTTTTTTTGGAAATAATCTTATTTTACGGTACCTTCAATTTAGGTGCATAAAAGAATGAAATTTGAAATAATTAACAAAGATCCTTAGGTCTTAACCATCTATAACACTTTTATCAAGTTCCGTGTCGTTCTCAAGGATCGTCAGCGTTTGTTCTAGATCTTCAGCTATGGAAGACTCTGGTTCTTCACTTTGGATCTCGCATGGATTATCAAATTGCGCCAGTGCAACACTACAAAATATCAGCTTGAGTGTTTTGTGTAAATTGGTTTTTAAGAAGGGATCAACTTGTTTATTATTTACTATTACTGGATCTATCCCCCAAAAAAATCCATCTTCGAAGAACACCCAAAATTACCGTGAGATGTCTATCGATTGAAATGTTTTCATACAGCTCAACATGCCAATGTTTTATCTTGAGGTAGCCACGAAGTTTGGGACACCATTTTAGATCAATCATCTTCGTATAATGAAATAAAACAAAACGATATTCTGGCTATTCATTTTTAGTAGCACTGATTTGAAATTTTGAAAAAGAAAAAGTCCTTTCAACAAACGCAGTCGGTTGTTCAGAAAAAGCTTAAGCGGCGCGGCTTAAGAAAAGACTTCAGCGGCGCGACTTAAGAAAAGACTTAAGCGGCGCGACTTAAGAAAATACTGACGGCGCGACTTAAGAAAAGACTTAAGCGGCGCGACTTAAGAAAAGACCTAAGCGGCGCGACTTAAGAAAAGACTTAAAGGCGCGACTTACGAAAGAACTTAAGCGACGCGACTTAAGAAAAGACCTTAAAGGCGCGACTTAAGTAAATACTGGAGCGGCGCGACTTATGAAAAGACTGACGCCGCGACTTAAGAAAATACTTTTGGTATTTTGCTCAGTCACGCATTTCGCGGCGGTTCATTCTCAGTCGCACCGGTCTGAAATTGAAAATTTTCAGTCGCGCCAGTTGCGCCATTACCTTAGGTCGCGCCGGTTCCGACGGTGTTTTGAGTCGCGCCGGTTGCGGTGGTTTTTTTTTCAGTCGCGCCGGTCTTCAATTGCCAAGTTTCGATCGCGCCAGTTTGGAATTGCCAATAGAAAGTTGCGCCGGTTTGGAATTGCTAAATTTGAGTCGCGCTGTTCTTTTCTTAAGTCGCGGATCTCGACCCGGGTTGCAGACAACATACATATGACAGTTATTATTGCAAAAAAAACTAAATTTTCTTCAAAACAAATTTGGGGGGTTTGACTTTTCAGCTCTAATGATATGCCACGCGACACTATCTAATTTTGTTGTACGTGGTTTAGTGAGAATAAAAAAATGCTTGTATCAAAAATTTCTCTCCTTCCACATTATCCGATTAAAATAATTAAGCAGTTTTTTGCCTTGTGTCCTGAAGAGTGTGTTTAATGCTCTGGTTCCTGTTGAAAACTAGATTCCGAACTGACTTCAGAGAGTCCAAACATTTGTCCATGGCACTCGACATCTTTTTTCCACTGATGTTGCTCTATCTCTGTTGGGTATGTTTTCTGTGATATCTGCAATCAACTAAATGTTACAAAATAACCAAGTCTCAATGCTTAGACTCAATTCACTATAGAGATTTATAAATATAAATAGAGCTTTTAGTGCATTTCAGAGTTCTTAGTGCACTGTTTTAAATGGCATCGAGCAGCTCCTAGTAAATAAATTCGAAGATGATCTGTGCAAGAGCAAGATTTAACTTTGTGTAATTCGGCAAAGTCATCGTGCCAAAACATCAATTGGCCAAAGATTATTAGGCGGACTTTTTTAATTTCTTTGTTTAAAGTCGCCGGTGGCCTTAATAATTCATTGGAGCACAGTTTGAGCAATCAGAAATTGAGTTGAGTAAATTGGTACGAATGGGATCGAGTTTTCATTTTGCTACAAGTGAACTTTGGTACAAATGGGACTAAACTGTACCATGTACACATTGGTCTATTGTGTACAAAACTCGATGAAACTCAAAAGGGTATACAACACTAAGAATCCTAATTAGCCCAACAATTGTTAAGCAATCGCAAATAACTAAAACTTTTTGAGAATTTTTTTGTCAACTTTTTTTTTCAAAAAGCCATTTTATACGTTTGTACAGTTATAGAACCAATAATGATAGTTTTTGTCTCCATAAACATGGTGGGGCTAAAAATGATTCTCATTTTGATAAGTTTATATAAAATAGATCAAAAACATTAAAAGGGCAAAAATTAGAGTTTGATTTTGTAAAACATTTGCACTAAAATTTTAATTAGTCGCCAGCGTTTATTGTCATATCACTTTTTCTTTGATGACAATCGGTTTTGACATAAATAAATGAACCTAATTTGTCTGTTGTTGTCTTCGGATTTTTATTTCATGATTCAGCACTGTATTGAACAGCTGGTAATTGAAAATGCTGTCCATAATAATGTATATCTGCAAAAAATCAAGAAAATTCATGTGGTTTTTCTGCTAAGAAGATCTGAAAAAAACTGTAAAAATAATGGCTTGATAGATTGGAAACTTCATGATTTTTGAAATGATTTTCACGTTTTCTTTTTTGTTTCAATCAGGGGCGGATCTAGGATTTTCTCTTTGCGGATTTTCAAAAAAATTTTGACGACCTTTTTTTTTGGTCGACCAAATTGATTTTTCGAGCTCTCCTCAAGCATTGTTTTGCCCCCATTTTGGCTCATTTTTCTGCGCCGCAGGCAAATTTTTGAAAAAAATTGGGCACTTTTTGAAAATTGTTGACAAAAAAATCGAGTTTTTTTTTGGCGCGCGCTCCCCTTCAAAGTTAGTATATATTGGCGCCAAAGGCGCCTTTTGAAAAATTTTAGAGTCGGTCGGCCAAAAATGGATTTCTGAAAAAGTATCAAAGGGGGGTTTATATTTAAAAGGGTTTATATGATGAATCATTTGACATTAAACGACGGATTTATTGCGATACCTGATCGTCGTAGACAAACCGTGATTTCTGAGAAAGCTAAACTATTCAGACCGATCATTTTTGACAGTAATATTGATCGAATCTTGATCAAAACGGTTTGATATAAAACATTATTTGTCAATCTACGACGTATATTTGTGATACTTAGTTTTTCGTCGACAAAAAGCTTGGTTTTTTGCGTATAGATTGAAAACAAGCAATGTTATCCAGCCAGAAATTTTTTTGCTGCAATTGAAAGAATTTGCTCTCATTTTTTGAATTTTGAATGAAAACTGACGTTTCTTCATCACATTGGCAGCATAAAAACGTTTTTGTAATAAAAAGTTTGGCAATGATTGAATCTCTGAAGAAATGTTAATCGTATGCAATACGCTAGAAAATGACTCAAGTTTACTAGCAATTCTTTTATTCTGCTGTTTCGTCCAACCGCACTGACAAAAACCACCCATCAATTTAGGTACCTAAAAAATCTAGCCAGAAAGTCTTCTTGCTATCAATGCATTCTCTATAACATGGAATATCTAAAACTTGTTTTGAGAAATTGACCAAAAAGAAATAACACCTCAAGATTTGCACTTGAAGTTTTTTTATGAAAAAATTGTTGCATACAAAATGATTTTTTTTGGGAACTGTTCGCTAAATTAGCATCGATTTTGCTATAAAAATTTGATGAAGGTCAAATTGTTTTGTTTACAATTCAAAGTTTCATTTTTGTTTTGAAAAGAAGATAATTTTACCATACACAAATTCTAAGCAAAAAATATTTCATTTGCGGATGAAACTTGAAAGGATAGCTTAACTAAACAATCTCTGCATGGAATTGTGTGATCGTCTGTTTACTTTCCTGCACAAAACCGTGCAAATTAATTCAATCAATTACACCTGAATTGGTTTAACCATGTGCCGCTTTATACAGTGCTGATTTGAATTATCCGGACAAAATGAACAAAACTTGAATTTTCAAACACGTTTTCCTCAAATTGGGTAAAGATTAGACAAAAAGTGAAGGGAGAAAAAGTTGCTTCGGATTTCACCAGAATTAATATGGTGCAATTTTTCTCCAAAATTCTTACCTAAATTTGGCTTTTTTAATTAATCAAGAATTACGCTGAAACTACTTCGTTAATTGATGAGACAATTAAATCACAAGAAGCCTCTTACACAGCCCAACAATGTTTTACATGGGTTAAATCTCCAAAAATTTGAGTAAATTGCCTAAAGTTTATTTTCAGTAATGATTTTGTGTTTTATATAATCGGAACCACGTTTTTTGACTATCAAGCAAAAATTTTTTTCCTATACATGTTTTTGGAGACTGAACCCATCTAGAACATGGTGTTGGGCTGTGTAAGAGGCTTCTTGTAATATATATTACTTGTCAATTCACAAGATAGTTTCAGCGTAATTCTTGATTATCTGAAAAAAGCCAAAATAACCCATTTTTGGAGTAAAATTATTTTGGCTGAGATTTTCGAGAAAAAAACGGCACAGTATTGAATCTTATAAAATTCTAAGCAATTTTTGTTCTCTTCAATTTTTGTCTAATCTTAACCCAATTTGAGAAAAACAGGTTTGAAAATTGAAGTTTTTTTTCCTTTTGTCCCGATAATTTAAATCAGCACTGTATTTGATTTTAAAAAATTGTTCAGATAAGAGCAATTCGAAGAATTTTGGATTCTGTTTTTAAATTTATACAAATCAAGATATCACAACGAATTGTCTTGAGAGCTCAAGTGATAATCATCATGAAGTCTTTTCATTCGTTAAATTATGCAAAAAAAAATTCGATATCAATTTTTGGCTTTGATACAAAATTGTATGAATATTTTGCTCTTCAGACCTTAATTTGACAATAAAAAGAGATAATTTACACTACTGCAAAGTCATATTAAGCTATTCATTCTTCAAATATATATATTCAAATTGTATCTGTGCTCAAAACTTTTTGTGCTTCATGGACACAAAAACCAGCCTAATTTACTTTTGGTCGACTGTGATGTCGCTCTGTTGTCTTTGCAGGGCAGCACTCCATTGCACCTGGCAGCCCAGACTGGCAATGTGGCAGTGGCTGGACTCCTCTTGAGTAAGAGTACCCAGCAGCTGAAGATCAGAGACAAGAAGGGGAGAACTCCTCTGTTGCTTGCATCTGCCAATGGACACAAAGACATGGCCCAACTGTTGATTGGTCAGGGAGCTGATCCAAATGCACCCGATAAGGTAGCAAAAAAATCCCATTTTCAGTTATAGTCAATGAAGTTTGAAAGTTGTCGATTTTCTTAATTTTTGCGTTTGACTCTTTTTTTTTACAAGATGTCGGTGACTACGAAGAAATTTGAAGAAGACTAAAATTTGTTGTTTTGTAACAAATTCTGAAACAATTCTGAAACAAAATTGAACAATTTGTTACAAATTCAATTAGTTCCAACTTATCGTAGGTTTGATTTCAAGCGAAACTCTCTGAATATTGATCTGTTTTTTGCTCTTGCACAATTTAACTATGAGCGCGAAGCTTCAATATTTAACCTCAAAAAATATAATAGAAGCGGCGCTATATTATTTTTAGCTTGTACTAGTTTGGAAACAGCGAAAAAATATTTAGAATGACTGGCGTCCCCTCCACTATGCGGCTAAGAATGGACACAGTGGAGTGGTGGAGCTGCTAGTCTCATCAGGTGGGTGGGGTCAAATTAATGAAGTTAACATCAAAATTGAAATTTTTATAAACTGGAGAAATTCTGAAAAAAGTCATTTCAAAATAAATTAATTTAATTTGATTAACACTATCAATGAGAAACCTTTGTGACTGATGGGAACAAAAAACTTCAACAGTGCTGGTAACAAAAATAGAAATTGAAGTGCCTTAGAAAAACTTGTTGAAAATGGAGTTTTTTTAAATTCATCTTCGTGAACATGCTTAGGAGCACACACTACGAATGAGACGAAGGAAGACAAGGTGGCAGTTTGTTATGCGGCCGCCAACTCACACCACGTGGTACTCTACTTCCTCATGAAACAGCCACATAACACACACCAACTCATATCAGACAAGAAGGTAAACAGCATAAGAAGCGAAGCAAGGCATTACATAGTTAGGATAGTCCACTTAGCAGCCATTGATAGATTCTCTGTGAGTCACAGAGACCATCTATTTTAAATTAACTAACTAGTTAATTGATTGAAGGTCATCTTTATACCACAACATAAATGAAAATGTTCGGAATGTCTGTAGGAGGCACATAGCATAGCGGTAAGGCTTTCACTTTGTAATTGCAAGATAATGTATTTGGTTCCATGCCATGGCAATGATAGTGTGTGAGGACGAGCTCTCACTTGACCTCTAGCTTCAGGTCTACCACAGTCTGACCAATTTCGGCTGCAATAGTGGTATAGAGAGTTGCAAAAAGTTCGGACAGACAGAATTAATTAAAAAGAGCAACTGTCTAGAGATCAACGAAAATTAAAACTGAAATAAACATAACGTCGAAAGTTCAGAAAGCAGAACTACGGGATCTACTTA